ATCAAAGCTTAGGTGGTGTTACTTATTCCGTTAACGTGGATGACATATGTTGACCATTTTGTAGTTTTGAAGACGTCTTCTAGGGGCAGATTAAAAACCGTCATCACGTCGTCTTGTCTAACTTCTCTTTTAATGGGGATGGGATTAGTATTTTAGTCTAGTAGTAGTACTCCTAACGTGCAAAAATCTAAATTTGGAGATCAGACTACGTACCATTCGCTGTTATATATTTTCAATATTATTATATGGAGCTGAGACTTGGACATTAAAAAAATGTAATTTAAAAAGAATCGAGACCTTCGAACTCTGGTTATACCGCAGAGTATTGAAAATATCATGGACTGATAGAATTACAAATAAAGAAGTACTGGAGAGGGTTGGTAAAGAAACAGAACTAATCACCACTATACAAACCAGAAAACTGGAATACCTAGGCCACGTGATGAGGGGACCAAAATATGAAATTTTGAGACTGATAATACAGGGAAAGATTCTAAAATAAAAATAGCCATTATGATTGCCAATCTCCGTAGGGAGACGGCACTCTAAGAAGAAGTACTATTATAGTTGCGTTTTCATATGTATTATGTATTAGTTGCCTACATCTTGAACCTATTCTACAATTATTAATAGCTTCTTCTATGGCCCACATCTCGATACTATCAAATGCCTTTTCATAGTCTATGAAGGCAAGAAATACGAAGTTGGTACTCATTTGCCTTCTATATCAGTGTTATCATTTTCAGCAGATGATTTGATGTATTATATCCTTTGCCTGCTCAACCGCTTGGTAATCATCCAGTTTGTAAGTCAACCAATTGTTAATAATTCTCATAACCAGTTTTTATACTTTCACTGAGCATCGATATAGGTCTATAATTCTTTTACACATTTGTCCCCTTTTTTGTGTAAGAGTAGTACTACACTTTCGTTCCAGTCTTTAGGGATTTTGCTATTATGGAGACATCTATTAAATAGCTCTGTTAGTATAGATATCATTACCGTCTTGATTGTTTTCAAGAGCTTGACAATTATACCGCCGTGTCCTGGAGCTTTATTCTTTTTTTAGGTCACTAAAAGCTCTTTCTATTTTGAATCACTCTATATTTGGTAGTATCTTTGATCACACGTTTTTTATTTTTCTTTTGTTGATTCATTAGTCTTGCTTTGCGAGCTGTACAAGCTTTTGTAGTCTTCGACTATCGTTGCTATTTTATATTTGTTTTCTTCCTTATTATTGGTGTCTTTAATTTTGATGATCTTTTGGACTCTATTGTTTTAGAGACCAGTTTAGGCCTCTATTGTTTTTTATGACGTGTTCTATTAAGTTCTCGTTCCATTTTTTTTATGTCGCGGTTTAGATCTTTTTTAACTGTTTTATTAAGTTCTACGTATGCTTTAGTGTGGTGTTTATTTTCCTCTAGTAGTCTTTTTTCCTTCATTAGTTTTTAGTTTCGTTGCTTATTTTGTTTTCTTTGGTTTTGATTTCTTTGCGACCTGTAGTCCGGATTCGAGAAGGTTTTTATTTATATTTTTGTTAATTTTGTCAATTTAGTCTTGATTATGTGAAGGATCTGATTCGAACTTACACGCTAAGACCTTTCGAAATTCCTCTTCAAGTGTTCTTGCTTTGAAGGCATCTATCCGCGTTGTTTTTTTCTAAGATCCTTTTTCTCTCTTCTTTCATGTTGATATTTATTTTTGCTCTAACTATACGATGGTCACTACTAGTTGTTATGTTGTTTATTGTTGTGACTCCTTCAAATATTCTTTTGTTGTTGTTGTATGTTGCTATATGGAGTTGTTTGTTGTTGTTCTTCATCTTTAATGTCAACTTACCTAACCTCCCAGAACCCTTGGGACAGACCGTTACTTCGGTGTATGATTGTGGGATAAAGTTCCTACCCACCTGGGGTACCCGTTAAAATCGACGTTTTTGATTTTTAGAGGTTTTGGCCATATCCCACCACGCTAACCATGCGGGTATGTATGTGTAATGTCGACCGTTGCAAATAAAGTTAAGCCGCCTACTCAGTTCAGCCAACACCTCTCGAAAAGACGGGTTGGCACCACTCGCTCTTAATGATTTTTTTTTAAAATTTATTGTTGTCAAAAAAAAAGTATGTTTTAATTTTAAATGTGACATTTCGATAGGAAATTTAATTTTGAATAACTCTTCTGTAGACGTACATATAAGAAACAAATATCATTTCTAAACAAAATTTCAAACCCACAGTATGTTGGAGGTATGTAGATGATGTATTCTCAATATGGCCTCATGGATCAGAGTTGTTGGACACATTCCTAAATGATATAAACGATAAAGAAGAGACAATAACATTTACCATGGAAAAGGAATATAATAACACGCTACCTTTCCTGGATGTTTTAATCTCTAAGAACGATACTGGATATGAGACTCAGGTGTATAGAAAACCAACACACACCAATAGATATTTAAATTTCAAATCAAATCACAATATTAATGTAAAAAAGGGAATAATTAAATCCTTATACGATAGAGCCAAAATGACTTGTTCTAATGAAAATTCGTTCTTGGAGGAGAAACATTTGTTAACATCTGTTTTATTAAAAAATGATTATCCTTTATCGTTTATAAATAAGGAATTTTCAACAATCGATCGAATAGAACAGAACAACTTAGAACGAGATCCTTCAGCATACACAAGGAATAATATGAGGAAAATAACAATACCCTACATAAAAGGACTATCAGAAAAACTTAAAAGGATAGGAAATAAATTCAACATTTCAACAACATTCAAAACAATAAACACGTTGAGATCTATTTTGTCCAAAACCAAACCTAACAATGAACAAGAAAGGACAAAGAATTGCATTTATAAAATACCTTGTGAATGCGATCAGTTTTATTTAGGTGAATCATCAAGGCCATTAAATGTTAGAATAAGTGAACATCAATCTTATATCAAAAATAAAGAATTTGATAGATCTCAAATCTGTAAACACGCATGGGATAATGAACATAGGGTTCAATGGAATAATTCAAATGTAGTCCTAAAAGAAACGGATAGTAAAAAAAGAAAAATCAAAGAAGCTGCTCTAATTATGCTAAATGAGGCCAATTGTGTCGCAAATTCCTCGGCAGAATGTAGTAGGATCTGGTTACCAATATTGAAAGAGGAAGTTATTAATAAGAAAATACCAGTATTAGTAAGTCAGTAACATATAGAGGATACATCATTTATATTTTTTAAATAACGTAACATATAAAATCAGAATTTTGATGTTTGTTGAAGGTAAACTAAATTCACGAACAAATACTTACAATGTCGGGATAGTATTATGAGGTTTTTTTCCTGGTTTTTCCCTCATAATTTACTATGAAATCACTAACAGGAGAATTTTACTGTCATGATGACGGTCATCATGTCATGTGTTTGTCTTTTTAAAGACGAATTACATGCTATGATTTTTTCTGACGGATATTCTCAAGTTAAAGTTGATTTCATGTAATCGAATGAACTATCTTATAAGTAAAGTCGTCCCAGGAGCGCAACTCAACAATATTGGCAATATCATTTTAAAGTCGTCTACTTTAAAATGCATAATGTATGTCTGAATTGTCAATATAAATGAGTCAGATAAAATTAAATTATTAGAAGAATTTTTCACTATGTAACAAAAAACAAAATTTGTTTAATTTACTGTTTGTATTTTGAGAACGATTTCCGAAGTGGAAATTGAAACGTCAATAAACGTATTTTTATCTTTGGTTGTGGCTTATTCCCAGTTTAATAGTAATTAATTTACAATGCCACAAGAAAATAGCTTCAGAACAATATTAAGAAAAGTACATTCAAGCAATTGCATTCCAGCCAGTTCAACCAATAGTGCATAGGGACAAATTCAGCCCTTTCTCAAAAAAGCCTAACCAGCCCTAAAATCAAACATTTTACACTTTAATTGGTAGTACTACGCGGTTTTTTCATAATAAGGGTCCATTGACTATATGAAGGTATAAAACCCCTTTAACGTTGTAATTCCTTTCTAAAGTACATAATCAATAGCCTATTAGTCGGTGGATGTGTCTTAGTTTAAAATATCGCGGGTTTCATATTTATTGAAATGACAATTGGGTATTTACAACAGGGAAATAAGGCAAAAAATACCATGTTCGTGACTCTGGCCCATCCGTGTTGCAAATGGGATTATGAGTACTATATACCTAATACATTATAAGTAAAAAATTACAGGTAAAAATAGGGTAATTAAAGATATCTAGAATATTCATCTTTTAATAGATGGGCAAAGGTTTAAAATGGCAGTTTTTGAATTTTGTTCCGATCATTTTTTGTTGCTTCGGAAATTGCAAAACAAGGCTAAAATTTCGAAAATTAAAAATTTGCTATAACCTTTGCAAAAATGGACCTAGGGCTTTGATTTTGAATGAAAAGTTAAGTCGAGTAGTTCCTTTAACGCAAAAAAATTCAAATCTATCAGTTTAAATTTTATTCAATGTGTTTATCCCACAGAGCTTTTTTTGCAATGGTATTGTTCAAAAACTAATAATGATACAGCTCTGCGGGTACCACATGAAAGAAACAGACGTATATTTTGAATATATTTTTAAAAAAATCAATAAATGTCATTTTTATCATTGCAATTTACAATTTCCCGTGCAATTTAAATTTGCAGTGTCAATCAGTTACAGGCCAACAAGTTGTAGATTTCAGAGTCGTTAGTTCATCTTGGCTATCAGAGGCAATAAATATTTTGGCCTAATGAGACGTTTTTCAGGAATTCTGGTGCCAAAAATCTCTTTGTAGTAATTCCGGTCGAAATATTGTAGAAGTATCTCCGAGGACTGCTGATAGTGCAGTTGTAACATCTTCAAAATCATATGTAACATTTTTAGAGCAGATTCGTATGTTGTTTTGTAGATATTATAGAGCCAGATCTGTAACACATTGACTTTTGGAGAAGAAAAGTACTCATTTTAATTAATTTTGTTACAGGAGATGAGCAAGTGGAAGGAATGAGTGTGTCTGACGCACCGACTGAAGAATTTACCGACCCTGCCATTTTGGTTATACGAGAAACGGTGAAGATAAGTTATTCGAAGGAAGAACTTCTGAAATTACGTGAAGCTCCGCTGTCAAAGAAAAAACCGGACTTCTTCGATACTTCCGAAGTGTAAGTACTGACTATACTTTTCCATGTTTAAAAAATGTTTTTAAATCACATAAATTAAGAATTTCAAAGATAGTTTTAAAAGTTTCAAATTAAAATCATGTCTATGAATTATTATTTTTAGTAATATATTTGAAGGTGGTGAAGTTGTTTTGAAAGACTAGAAAAAATCATATAATTAGAGCCCTTACATTTCTTGATCAACACTGCCCTTAAAAAATTCGACAGTTTTCATCAATACAGTTCCTTATAAGGCGATATAATGATTTCAAAACTTCTCTAAGAATTCGATATTTTTATGTAGAATGATTTGCCTTTGTACCGGGTGGTCCAATAAGCCGATCTCTCGGCTATATATCAGAAACTATTCATGTTATAACTTTAGGAAAAAAAATTCCTTAGTAAAAGTAGTCAAGAGAAATCGCTGGAAATAACTTTCAAGTTTCTGGGTTAACCGCTAGGGGGCGTAATCTGTGAAGAAAAATTTGAAAACCTGTTTTTTGTGAAATATGCTCAATTATACCAAGTGTTAAATAAGTAAACTAGAAAGAGGCCTAAATTCCGCACAAAGTTGTTCAAGTTCTTTTTTTTTATTTTTTCAAATAAAGGGTGGGGGAGAGTGGGAAAGTATTTGTGGGTAAATACCTATAACTTTGGTTTGGATCAACCGATTTTAACGAAATTAGTGTCATTAGAAAGAGTATGGATGATTTAATTTATATCTACTATAAAACAATTGAATTTAGTTTTAATTATCATGGGTAGCGGGTAGGTACCCCTCTATGATCCCGATAGAGGGTAGACTTACTTCAGGGAGGTAGCGCCCCTACCCACGCGAGCTCCTGGTTTTCCTCTACTCCCTACTTAGGGGAAATCAGGCCCAAACCCCAATATTATCCTACCCAAACCCCACATTCCTTCCCTATATCCTCCCCCAACTCGCCAACACGTCTGGCCAGCGTGGCGTTTTAAGGCCAAACCCCCCGTAAACATGCAAAACACAAACCAAACACGGCCCTCAGTCCCCGGCAGCTCAAAAATCTCTGACCAAGGTAGCGGACAGAAAAGATTAAGAGCAGAGGGTGCTAAGAATACCCGGGATGGACCAGGCTACCACTCAAGACGGCTAAACTGCACAAGAATACTGCATCTTGCATCCTATAATATAAGAACCCTCTCAACCGATCATAAACTAATAGAACTGGAAAACGAATTAAAAACAATAAAATGGGATGTAATGGGACTTAGTGAAATTAGAAGGAGAGGAGAAGAACAACAAACATTGAAATCAGGACACCTGTTCCACTACAGAGGAGAGGAACATTCATCCAGCGGTGGAATCGGGATCATTGTACATAAAAAACACATACCCAACATAACAAAAATCGAGACCATAAGCACGAGAGTCATCCTATTGATATTAAAACTAAACTCTCGTTATAGTTTAAAAGTTATACAGGTCTACGCCCCGACAACTGGACACACAGATGAAGAAGTTGAAAAATTCTATGAGGATGTAGCAGAGGCACAAAAAAGAACACGAACACACTATACTGTTCTCATGGGCGACTTCAACGCAAAACTCGGATTCAAACAAGACCAAGCGGAGATCGCGTTAGGAAAGTACGGATACGGGGCAAGAAACGCAAGAGGGGACATGCTTTTAAACTTTCTACATCATCAATGCATGTTTCAAATGAACTCTTTCTTTAAAAAGAAACCCCAAAACAAATGGACTTGGATAAGCCCTGATGGCGCCGTCAAAAACGAAATCGACTTTATAATTACAGATAAAAAATATATAATACAAGACGTGGAAGTACTCAACAAGTTCTCTGCTGGCAGCGACCATAGGATGATAAGAACAAAAGTAATGCTTAACGTTAAAAAAGAAAGAATGAAGCTTGTTCCTAAACCAAATGTTAGAAGATGGGTTCCACCTGAAAATGCAAAATGGTTTGAACGTACGGTCGAAGAAAAATTACAAAACGAAGAAACAGAAAACATAAACATCGAACAACTAAACCAGAAAATAGTCAAAGCTCTGAAACAAGCACAAGAAAAATGTTGCCCAAAAAACCAAAAAGACGAAGAAAAACTAAGTCTAAGCACGAAAACTCTATTAGAGGAAAGAAGACAACTAACAGATAAATACAGAACCAATCTAACAAAAATGAGACAACTAAACAAACAAATCACTAAGAACATCAGAAAAGATATAAGAGACTACAACACCAGAGAGATATCAAAAGTCATAGAAGAGAACAAAAGTTTAAAAGTCTTCAGAAGGAAACAGCAAATAGGAAAGAAAAATATTTACAAACTGAAAAACACAAAGGGCGAAATAATAACAGATAAACAGGAAATTCTACAAACTGTCGGACAATTTTACAGCGAACTCTACAGCAAAACAGAAGAAAATGTTCCAACTGACAACATACCAAAGGTTCTAAACCAGGGCTCGGAAGACATACCAGATGTTACTGTTGATGAAATCAAAAAAGCTCTCCTACAAATGAAAAATAACAAGTCACCTGGCGACGACGGGGTCGTTGCCGAAGCCATAAAATTAGGAGGCGAGAAACTGATACAAATGCTTTCCATACTTTTCACAGAATGCCTTGAAAGAGGAACAACACCATCACAATGGCAAAATGCAGTGATCATTCTAATGTTTAAGAAAGGAGATTTAACAAATCTCGTAAACTATAGACCAATCAGCCTCATCTCACACATATACAAGCTTTTTACAATAGTCATAACAAACAGACTTTCGAACAAAATGGACTTTTACCAATCATGCGAACAGGCAGGATTCAGGTCAGGCTTCGGCACAAACGACCATCTACAAGTTATTAAAAGCCTCATCGAAAAATGTATAGAGTACAATAAACCCCTCGTCCTAATATTTGTGGATTATGAGAAAGCATTCGACACAGTAAACCACCAGAAAATGCTAGAAGCTTTAAAAGAGTGCCGAATAGATCACCGCTACACCACTGTCATCAAAAATATCTATGATAATGCCACGGCATGCGTCAGACTCCATGAAGATACACACAAGTTCAAAATTCATCGCGGAGTTCGCCAGGGAGACACCATTTCGCCAAAACTGTTTACAACATTATTGGAATACATGTGTAAGCGTGCAAACCTAGACGAAAAGGGCATAAACATAAATGGAGAGCAGCTTAGTCACCTCAGGTTCGCGGACGATATAGTCCTGATAACAGACCGCATAGATCATGCCATCGAAATGTGCGAAAGACTCTACCATGCCTCTACACAAGTGGGTTTAAAGATCAATAACTCAAAAACACAAGTGATGACAAACCTTGTTCTGAGTGAGAACATCAACATAGCTGGAACAAGTATAGAACAAACATCAGCATACAAATATCTGGGACACGAAATTCGCTTAAGTAGAGATAACCAGACCAATGAACTAATACGTAGAATAGGGTTGACATGGGCAGCTTATGGAAAGCTAAGAGATGTTTTCCAATCAGCCCTTCCCATCTGCTTGAAGAGAAAAGTCTTCGATCAATGTGTGCTGCCAGTTCTAACCTATGGTGCGGAGACGCTAACACTTACTAAGACGTCCGCAAACAAAATTCGAACAACACAGAGGGCAATGGAACGGTCCATGTTGGGATTAACCCTGAGAGACCGAATACCCAACACAGAATTGCGCCGTAGATCGGGAGTAACCGACGCAATCAAAAGAATATCAACCTTAAAATGGAACTGGGCAGGGCACGTCGCGAGAACGAAGGACGGCAGATGGACAAAACGCATTCTTGAGTGGAGACCCAGACAAGATGCCTTTAGAAATAGAGGACGACCACCAACAAGATGGACGGATGACCTGAAACGGACACATCAAAATTGGATGCAGGCGGCTCAGGACAGAAATTTGTGGGGTGAACTACGGGAGGCCTATGTTCAGCAGTGGACGAGTATGGGCTGAATGATGATGATGATGATGATCATGGGTAGAGGGTACTTTTGAATAGAAAAAATCAAAATTTATTTTTCTTTAAAATGTTTAATGGAAACACCTATTTCTTATAAATTATAATGGAACTGGATAAAAGTCGTAACAAAATGGCGCAAACCGTATGTTGATAGCTTTTGTAGATCGCGAGATATGAATAAAAACGCATGAACATAAGTAAGTATAGTATTGACTCACCCTGTATTATAAATTAAATTAAAAAATAAGTCAGTAGGTACTTTCAATTTTTTTTATAGTAAAACAATCCTAATGTTGATACCTATTTTGACCATTGGTATTTTATATAATTAAAATAGTTTTTTCGAAAGTGTTATATATTACATTATATTATATTATAAGTATTATAATCCGAATTGAAGATTGCACTTTTTGACTCACCCTTTATTATAACTGAAAATTAAATATGTGAAAAATCATACAAACATCTCGATCATTAAAACTTTATGTCCAATTAAATGTTCAAATTGTTTTCCATCATTGTTCACACAAAGATGTAATCTTTCGCGTGTAGACATAACAGCTGCTTCAATCTCAGCTGTTGATATACTATTTATTTATTTATAATGCGCTGTTTCATCTCGACTCGCGTGGTTGGTGAAGTTTGTAATACTAAGTCATTCAATCTTCCCCACAGATAAAAGTCCAGATATGTTAAGTCTCGAGATTCCCCTTCCAATCCATTTATTTGGATAACTTGCATACAAATAATCTCGAACTCATCTGGAAAAGTGCGCAGGACACCCATCATGTTGTAATATCATATCTCTTCTTGTTTGTAAGGAAATATCTTCCAATAAAACAGGCAACTGATTTTCCAGACAATCCAAATATTTTCGCCATTTAAAGATATATCAAAGAAATATGGACCTACGATCTTTCCTTCAACTATACCACACCAAACATTAAGACTCCTTCTATTTTGAACCTGCACCTCATGTATCCAATGCAGATTTTCTTTAGCCCAATAATGCATATTATGCAGATT